GGGTCCTCTGGCCGTATTTTTCGTTGAGTAGCGGCAATGTCACCTGTAGTAGGACTACTGTTGTATGACGGCTCTTGTTCGTTATTCCCGGAATAGTGAGGCACACCTGTGGTTGTTGTAGGCACCACGGAGGTGACGCTGGTCTTGTTGCTGGAGTGAAGCCGAAAGGAAGGCATTCTCTATGGGCAGAAATAATCTTTGAAAACATCGCTTGTGGTCTTTGAAGTGGCAACACTGCAACATGGTGACCAGGAACTCGGCAGAGGTGTCTTATGTGGGCTCTCAAATTGTCAGTGGTGATGTATGTTTGAATTGGATGTTCTCTTGCGATCATAATTGCCCCTGCCTAAGCCCCCAATTTACCTCTGCAGGCTTGGATACCTGTTTTTCCCACTTTATAACTACCTTGTTACTTTTATAGATTTCCTTTAAAAGATTAGTGACTCCATCTTCCACACCCAGTGTGTCTAGGATTCCCCACAAGTCATCTTGAACCACGCTATCGTACGCTCCCTTGATATCCAAAAATGCTAGCCACAGGGGCCTGAGTTCATTTTCTGCTATTTCGATGCACTGCGTCAGTGAGAACAGATTGTCTTCCAACCTCCTGTGTTTCCGAAGCACATTCTGCAGTTGTCTCAGCACACTCTCATCATCTATCCATGCCTGCAGTCTTTCCTTTATAATCTGCATCGCCAGCCTGTAGTCCACTGATGTCACTGTTATGGGACGGTAGTTGTTTATGTCATCTTTGTCCCCCTTTCCTTTATAAATCATGCCCATCCTGCTAAGTTTCCATTCATCAGAGACTTCACCAGTGATTATAGTTCTGCTCACTGCCTCTCTCAAAATCTGTTTAGACTTCGGACCCAATGTCTTTATCAGCATGATTGGAATGCCATCTGGGCCTGTTGATGTACTACTTGGAACCCTCTTCTCAGCGCTTTCCCACTCTCGTTGTAAAAATGGCGCCATTGTGCCACTTGATCCATCCCTGTCTATTGTGGTGCATAAGGCACTTCTTTGTTGAAATTTTTCTGTCATCCTTGTTCTTATATATTCAATAGCTTCGTCCCCTTCTAGCCTAGCACCTTGAGCTGTAGTTATAAACCTCTGCTCTAGATTTGTTTCATTTCTTAGGTAGTTTAGATGGTTCCAAATTTTCGGAGCTGCCTTTCTGTCCTTTTTATGTACTTCTGCCAGCCACTGAGCACCCTTTCTTCTAATCTTTTCATTGATCAGGAGGGATGCTTCCCTTCTAGAGCTTAGAAAGATTTCCCATTTTCTTTCAACATCATCTGTCGGTTCACCCCGTTGCTTAGCATGTCTGTGTTCCCTATAGGCTTCCTGCTGCTTTGCTATGGCTCTCTTAACTTCCTCATTCCACCAACTCTTGGGCTTGTGTCTTCTTTTCCGGGGTGACTTGTCACGTGCCTTAGCAAGCTCTAGCTCAAACAGTCTAATTAGATTCGTGTATGTCCACACTGTTTAATTATCCTCAGTGATTCCTTTCTCAATTTGTTTAGTGGCTATTTCAATTTGCCTTTCTGAATAAAAAAATTTTCCTGCAGTTGCTCATCTTGTCTCTTTCCCACTTTCAGCTCTTCCAAAACTTAGCTTGATACGTTTGTGATCACTACCCAGACTTCTGGAGCCACCTTCATCTATGTGCATTAGCCTGAGCTTATCATACATCCTATGTGACATCAGTGCGTGCGTAATCTATCGTTGACTGCAGTCTTCCTACCTCCCATGTTATTTGCCCTTCACACTTCTCGGTACTGTTGCAAATGATCAAATCATGCCTTTCACACAAATCCATGATCATTTTGCCTGTTAAGTCAGTATACCCATCTATATTTTCTATGTGTGCATTCATATCTCCTGGTATGATTATCTCGCACTCTCCTCCTAACTCCTGAAAGTCATTTAATATACACTCTACCATTGCCTGGTTTTCCTCTCTGGCCTTTGCTCCCGTCCACAAGTACACGACACCCAAGAGTGTCATTTGCCCTGCCACTTTCCCTTTTAGCCATAAATGTTCCTTGCATCCCTGCTTGACCCTTTTCCAACCCATGCTCATATGTATAAATGCACCAATTCCACCCCCTTTTTGCTGCCTTCTGTTCTATAGCAATATTCCCATACGAAGTCTGGATTGCAGGGTGGTTGCTCCAGGAAATGTGTCTCCTCAACCCCATATACCATCAGCTCCTCCTGCCTCAACTGCTCTTCTATCTCTTCCTACTTTAACCTATTCCTGCCACCCTGCATGTTAATATAGCCTACGTCTGACTTAGCCCGGCCCTTGTGCTTACGTCGATTTCTTTTTTACGGACTTCGTGTGGCTTGAATATTTGTGCCCCTTTAGGTCCGTCTTTGGCTACACTGTTAACCTCAGGGTCCCCCTAAAAAAGCTATACGACGTGTATGCGACAGTGCGCGCCACCTAGCGGAAACATTGCAAAGCGGCGTCACTACCTCTCATTGCAGCCGCTTGGCGGTGACCACACATTTAGTATTCAAGCCACTGTAGAAGCGGCTAAGCCATTGGTCACTCACGGAAAACAAAATCCGATGCAAGCCAATAGTTTGTTTCAGTTTCAGTTTCGTTTCACCGGAATGATGCTTCTTAAATGTGAATAAAACTGTTACGGAGTTTTTCTGAGCGAATCCGGTTATCACCACCGGAGGTCTTTGTGTACGAGCACTGCCGCGCTGGCGGTACTGAAGATTGTTTTCCAAGTTCATTTATTACTTTCCACATTCATTCACCACATGCGTTCATTCATAAGTTCATTTACCACATGTGTAACATTGACACGTCGCAGCAAGTAGGCACAGCAAGGAGCCAATGACAAAGCACAAAAATTAAATCGTTGCAGAATAAAACAGCCGCCATACCTACCTATAAAATTTGCTACATGAAAGATGGTAAGGTAAATGACTGCTACGGGGAACTTCAAGCAGACCTTCGTAAACTATGTGCTTTGAGCAGTTGACGGCCGAATACAGCATACTTATAACGCCAGCAAGATTTGTCCTCCGAAGCACCGACCCAAGTCCCTGGAAATGCTTCAAGATGATCAGGGTTGTACGTGTTGCATTTTGCAGTAACCTTAAGATTTGGAGTCATCTAAGCTGGATGACAATTTTGTCACCAGGCAGCAGTTATCATAGTAATCAAAAAATTTTGAAGGTCACGAAATGAGGGAATCAATTTCATGCAAAGCAGGTGGTGAGTAGCTGCTTGTATTGCATTTTTTGGGCATTGAACCTAGTCTAACAAATTGTGGCATATTGTGAGCTTAGCACGCAAGTAGTCTATGCTGGAATGTAGAGAGTAGCTCACGGCCAGACGTAATGTCTGCACATCAGTGCTAACGTTACAACACAGACGTCACTTTTATCGCACAATAAAGAAATTACTGGGAGAGGCTTCATTCAACAGAGGGTATAATAAAAGGCCCACAAAATAGACTACAAAGCACAGAAGAATAACAAGCAAAAATTAAAAAATTTTCGAAGAAACATTTAGTAGTAGTTGCAACGTAACGTAGGCCTCAGCTTGGGCCCCCTCTCTGGGCTTAGACCTATGAACTCTGCCAATACCTGTTGAACCTTCCTGCTGGTTGACTCACTGAAAAAATTGCTGTTCACACATAGAATGTTTCTTAATTAAGCAGAGAATCACTGCTGTTATCAATGATTTCTAATGTTGCTATAATAACAGTAAGCATCAATAACTTAGGAGGTCAAGCTTTGCTGCTACAAGCCTAGGGGACACAACAAGGCGCTGGGACTTGCATACAGTGCCAAATAGTAGTGCAAAAATGTAGCATCTATGAAGAATCCAATCACCTGTAGGGTTAGTTGGTGAAACACAGCACTTGGAAAATAAGCACAGACTGACACATAACCCCACACAAATGGTATTTATCTTGCTCATCATTTCTGCATCAATTAGTGCCTATCCATTAAAACCTACACCACATTTGACAGATCTTTTGAAAATTTAGTGAAAAAAACTTCAAGCTTTGCCTCCAAGTAAGAATGCCATAGCATAATCAAGCCCTATTCGCATCACCTTCTCTGTCACTAGCCCAAACTATGCCGTAAGGTATGTAGCAAGACTTGCGCATGTAACATTGGCCATTTTGACTATCCCAGAATGCATACTCGATGAACAGCTGCTATGTACCTACTACACCATAATTCCTTTCACAAATTGGTAAAGCACCCACCTTGCACGTATAAGGTGGTTAGTGCACCAGCACACTTTCTAATCGGTGGGCTGCTTTAAACCACCCGCTTGCTCTGTGACCCACTTATTCTGACACCTGGCAGGATTCTACAATTCTGCCATGCAATATCACACATATTAAGTAGACTTCACCTACTACATGAATTTTTTTACGAAGCAGTTTCAAGCACTGGCACTGTTCCACGGTAGAACACGTGCCTTGCACACAAAAAGCTTGGATTGGATTCTAACCTTGGTCGAACGTATTTATCATTTCTTGGCACGTTTTACGAATTTACGCTCACGAATAACATGGATGTTTCGCTCCTAATTTATGATGCCGACACCAAAATTTCTGTGAAACAAGATATTCAGTGCTATCACATAAAATCTTTTAGCATACCCGACCTGCTTTACTGTCAATTTCAAATGCAGAGAAACAATCTTAGGCGAATTAATGCATGCTACCTAGTACCCACCATTGCGATGGAAGCTAGACATTTGACTTCTATACACACTGCTGCCACAGTTTCATCTAGAAATTCAGGAAAGTAGAATGGCCACCAGTGCTCTGTGCCATTTGATACACAGTTTTACTGCTCACTGAAGACTTGTGCTAAATAACACATGCAACACATCTCATAATATTATTACAGCAACAATTCATACTTGCCTGCACTAAATTGAAGAAACTTGCAAGAATATTCAGCTGAGTGTAGCAAAGCGCAGAAGTGTAGAATAAAGAGGCAGTCTACTTTAGCGAACTGGAAATATTTATTTACAAAGAGAAAGAAAGCCTGTATAATGAAGTAGCCAAACTCAAGACCCAGCATAGCTGGACTATGTATAATATATATATGTGTATATATATATATTTATATACTAGAGGTAACTTTATGCAACAAGCATTTCATGAAACATTTCACTTATCAATGAGTCTTGAACATGTGCACTTTAGAACATCCCTCAAGCAACTACCTACACATGGGCGAGTTCCATCTCTGAATACCTTTAGCCCAATTTACATTTCAGGAATCAAAACAAATAAATATTGTCTCACAACATCCATCCAAGCTACTTCTGAAACATGTACAGATGAGCCACCATAAGTTGAAAGGAAATGAGAAGAAACATGGTCCATGCACTCATTGCATTATTTCTCGCTTCAAAACACGCCAGTAATGGTGTAAAAAAGACTACACACAAAATGTACACAATCCCTTGGTGCATGATCTTGCAAACCACTCTGACAAGCTCGTGTTCTTTTTCTGAAGACACAACTTCTAGGAGCATGGTCTTACAAAACAAGCTCACATTTAATTTTTCTGAAAAATGCTCGAAAACAAGATTAAAAACTTTGGCAACCACAGGGGTCCACGAAAACTGAGCTGCCCACAAGTCCCTGCAAGGGAACCCGGCACAGCAACAGGGAAGCAGCTAATGCATCGCCAAACCCTTCCTACATCTCTTTGCATCCGTTATCAGCTTCGTAGCAGCAACAACAACAATGCTGCTGTTAGAAGCTGCGATTCATGATTTGTTGCGCTTGGACAGTGCAAATAAAACTCGGCTTGAATAAATACTAGGCATCAGGCATCCTGCACCAGAAGTAAAATAAGATTTGACAGGCGTAAAGTCAATGCTGCAAGTTACATGATAAAACAAACGATGCAATCTATGCTGGGTCAAGTACAAAGGATGTCCCAATTGTTATTCACAGGCAGGGTCAGGACACCTGCGGTGATACATGATCACTAGTGCTGGCATCTTGCATTTAGTCACAATCAGTGTGTGCACCGCCACCATGAGCCAGTCCTGCTGTTCATCCTTTGGGCACTATTTACCGCTGTCTGTCCTTGACAGAAGCAACACGTAATGCATTCTGTCACCGTATGAGGCAGGTGACGCACAGGTGGGAAGGGCCTATGCATCCATCGTGACAAAATGCACCACACTTGCGGCACACTGCCATGGGCCTCAGACTGCACGCGCAAGTGCCGGCTTCACTGCTGCCACCGCAGCCGGTACCGTCTCCGCCATGCCCCCCTCGCCGGCGGCCATTTCCCGACACCACGATAGGAACAAGCGCCACGCCGCCGCCGGCCTGCTCAATCGACACACACACTTGTGATGCCACGCCAGTTTGCGAAGTTGCTGACGACGACACCTGCTGCTGAAGGGCCAGCAGGTCTCGACAGCTCAGCGACTTTCGCGCTGCAGTTTTCAGGAGAGCACTCTCGGGCAAGGTGACAGGTGCGCTCGACGGGCGAGTGACGACAACCAGTGGCTGTGCACCGTGGATGAGCATTGTTGGTTCGGGTGTCACACTCCGCGAGCTCGGCCTGACCAGAGCCTGGAACACTAGAGGCGGTGAAGGTTCGACCATATCTAGCTCGAGCGGAACTTCCTCAACTTCAACTACTTCAGCCACAGCTTCTACGGCAGGCTCCTGCAAAGGATGAAACATTACAATGTCTCTTCGTCCTTTCTTTTTGCACAGACACAGAACAGTATAAACTGTGTGTGAGACCTCCCAAGAGCCTTTTAGGAAGCTAGATATTGCTATAGTTTTTATACATAAGGTTAAGCAAAGCGACAAACACACCATGAAATAAATTATGTCAGATTTTATCATTACAATCACAACAACTTTCATTTAAGGATAGAAGTATCAATGTAGGATATCCGAATACCATGCGATACTGATGAGGGATGCATATCCTATACTTGTTGCAATATGCAATTCTCTACTGATTGCCTAAAACACTTTTCTCTTGGCATCTGCCTGTCCAACTCTTTCCATGTGATCTAAAGTCTACCAAATGCTGTATATTTCTCTCATGATGTCACTTGTGCAACAAAAGTTTATTTCACAGAAAATCAGCTGATTCATGCATGTGCCCATGTCTACATTTTCAGCCAACCATGACCAAGAACCTCTTTACTTATTAAAAATGAAAATGCAAAATAAGTGATCGAGTTGCTGCTTTTACAGCCACACCATGGTGCATTAATTCCTTTCAGTACTAGCCCTATACTCAGCAGCAATGTTTCTTGACAGCACTGTGGAATCTACAAAATTGATTTACATGCCTACCACCACGTCAAGAAATAGTAGTTGTTTCCCAATAATTTTCTCATATTGCCGTAATAAAATAAGTGCTGCCTTGTTTATAATAAAACTTGAAGAGTTGCGAGAAGTCATAGGCAAAAAATACATTTAGAATGCACTTTGCAAGAATTCCTTTGTTTTATTTCCATTTCTTTAACAGTCCCACCTTTTCAGCCTACCAGTGTTGAAAAGTAAACATGGCATCCACGATGTAATAGACTGAGTGCAGCCGCAAGTGCGCTGTTTAGTTCTCCAAGCAAAATGCCCGTAACATATTATAGACGAATAGACTGCTCGGCAAGTCGGTATTTCATAATGAATAAAAACTGTGCGAAAAATTTGGATGACTGCATGCATTTGTGTTGTTCTTTTCTCCCTTTGTACACACTTTAACGCAGTTTTCTTCATAATTGTATTATGGCGAAATGAGGTACACTAAACCATTGAAATGTTTTTCCCATTTACATTTTTGTGTATATAATATTCTGAACGGGTTAAACTATGCGAGTGAGCAATACAGCTGCAAGCTACCGAACTACTTGCAGAGCAACACTAATGAGTGGAATCTCCACCTTAGTAGCCTTCACTACAATGTTAAGATAAGTTGTCACCGAGTATAAGCATTAAGATAAGCCAGCATCTGATCACAAGAGACATCAACTTGTCGTGGCAGAATACATCAGCCACTAATAATATTGTGTAACACTGACACTGACGCGTTATTCAATTGTGCAACACTGATGCATTATTCGAAGACCGCAGGTTCGGATTATGCTGGTGGCAAGTCATCTTTTCGTCCCTTTTTCTTTCTTCACTTTTACTATTACTTCTAATAGCATTCACTAAACTTTCCCTGACATTATTGTCTGTTATCATTAATATTGTGTCTAACAAAGGAAATGAGCCCTTGAGTTTACAATCTCCTATATGCAGTAACTGCTACTCAAAAACACAGCACTAAAACAGAATATGTAATACACTTTTCATAATTTCATCACATTCACAGTGCACACTTGTAGTACAAAACCGCCTGTTTACACTTTACAGAGATCAGTGCACAACAAAAGTGAAATGCATGCTTACCTCTTGCGCCACAACCTCCAGAGCCACCTGGTTGGGGACGTTGTCGTGCACAACCATGTTGTTCAGGAGAGCATGGTCATCTCGCCTTTCCTCCCGCAAAAGCAGCATATTGTTGGCTGCCATCAGGTCCCTGTCCATTGGTTCTTCCTCTTCAGTGGTTACAACCACAGTACTGTGATCCACTGGGGAGGAGAGGTAGACCACTTCCTCTTCAGCACCCACCGCATGTGTTACCTCAGTCGTCAGGATGACCTCGGCTGTCGCTTCGGGTGCCAGTGTTATGGGGCCAAGCGGCTCAGACACAAACTCATGCGAAGAGCCTGCAACTTCCACCTCAGTTACGACCATGGTGTCCTCTTCTACAGCTGCTTCCTCATCAAGGTTGGCATAGCCGTCCAATGCTGGAGCTGGAGACGCTTCCTCGGACTTGTCATCATAGACCCTGAGCAAGAGCTGCTCTGCTGAAAGTGGTTCGCTGCCTTCGTCCTCACAAGGTACAGTAGACTCGTCAGCCGCTGGAATTACGCACTCCGGTGCCTCCAGTGGCTGCGCCAATGAGCTTGAAACTGTATCTGGGACAGCAAGCTGCTCTTCTCTGCTAGCCTGCAATTCAGATAAATCCTCGAAACTGCCACCACAGACTGACGCTAAAGTCGTAGGTGTAAGAGATGCACAAAAAAAGATGCAGTTGAACATGGACCGAAAAGCGATTCTTGTCTGTTATATGAGGTGTTTCTCATAAGCAGGGTAACACATGTGTGTTTTCTTATCAACACCTGTTTCAATGTAGGCACACTTGTGTCCCTTATGCCCATTCGTCTCTTACATCAGTGTAGCGTCTCTTACAAAAGGGTTCACTGTATGCTCAATACAATTTGTCTCCACAACTAACTCGACATTCACAGATATCACCAACTTTGAACAGCTGACGACAATTCTAGAACTACAAGAAAGAAAATTCTAATGCATCCCTTATCATTTTTTTTTTCTAGACTGCTCTACAATTAGTTACCTTTAAGAAGAGGCTATTTATGGCTGCAGCAGTTACTGCACAGGGCACCAGAAGGGTTCCATGAGCAATGCCATCTGATGACATCTTCTCTAGCATCACAGGACAACTTTACAAAACATGATTGTTCTCAACCACTCAAAGCCACTCAATGCCCAATGAAAATTGAAAATTGAATTGAATGCCGACCTTGTGTTAAGCTCAGGCTGTTGCAGGGTAAGGCACGCCATTGTCGTTCTCAAAAACTATCTCGATCAAACTTGTGAATGATACCGAGACTGGCATAGCTTCGAATTCTGTGGCATCAGATGCCACGCATCTTCGTTTATATATCTTGCAGGCCACGCTGCATGCTGACTACCTCTACGTTGGCTTGAGTTTTTGAAATATGGTTGTATTTTCTAGTTTGACACAGCACGCTTGATGGCTGGAGGGCGCGAACGATTCGCAGGCCTGATCACTTGCGAATGATGATATGGGCTACCGTGTGATCAGATTAGGTGGTGATGGCTGGAGGACGCGAACGATTCGCAGCCGCAACCACCTGCGAATCATGATGCGGGCAACCGTTACCGGATTAGGTGGTGATAGAAACTCTTCCGAGACCACGGTGATGACTGATCTTCGGGGGTCGACTCGTCACGCGTTTTTCTGTTTCAGAGTTTAAGAATCATAACCTTCGCAATTCCAAATAGCTCTGGCAACAACACGACGGCATGCTGAATGTGATAAAATGAATGCGAGAGCAACAGATTGTAATGTTATACAAAGTAAGGCTGGCACCGAGCTCTTTTGGATCCGTTATCGCGATACTCCTACCAAACACTGATGTAAGCAAATAAGGCCGCTTCAGGGAGAAGTGTTCTTTTCAAAGTCTTTAAAGCGTGCTGATGCTTTCCGAGATAAATGGGTGCCAGTGATTGCGACCGCGCCCTTAACACTGCAGTTCACTGTGGCTTCACAAGCGACCCTCGCCCCCAGGTTTTTTCATGCTCGTTCAATACAGGTGGTTTCCTTTCTGTTCGAGCCTTCGATGGCAGTTCAAACATGCGGGGGGATGTTATCATATGCGCCCTCTGGGCGATAGAGATAGACCAGCTCATTTCATTTCTTCTTCAGCAGCACTCGCGCTTTTACTCGCCCGTAAAAGTTACGATGCGCGGGGGCATGTTATCAATTTCGACTTGTTACGGAAAATGGCGACGACGGCAAAAACCTACCAAAAGTCTATATAATTGCTATCGCAATAATAACGCAGTTTTTTACCGCTAAGTAAGTGTATTGGGTTTGCTCGGCCTTGAGCTCCCCCCTTTTTTAAATTTGAGCGTTTATTTTCCTAAATTTTCGTACCGAGCCTGCATATAACGAAATCCTCTTAATGACAAATTTTTCTGGAAATTCGTCAATTTTGTTATATCTAGGTTTTACTGTATGCCTATTTGTGCATATATAATTCTTTGAAATTTGAAATAATTTAAATTTGTGTTGAAGTAAATTGAAATACAGTCGCCGACCGTTTATTCGGACTCGATGGGAACCGCCGAAAAGTCCGAATAATCGGGAGTCCGAAAAAACGGATGCACTCGAAAAAAAGCACTTTTATTGGCCTGATCGCCCGAAAAAACTGTCTATGCGCGTCTGCATACACGCACGCTTACGCGCGACCACGTCGGCCTGTACCTCTGCGAGTGTCTGGCCGTCGCTGTAGACAGACAACAGCATCGATATGGCCTGCGCTAAGTCCGCATTTGATGGCTGTGGTGCGGGCGGCGCGTCATCGTCGGAGTCACTGTCCGCCAGCGCCGGCTCGCAGACCTGACGGACGATCTCGTCATCGTCCAACTCTGCGCAAGGCAAAACGGCACTGTCGAAGTTGGCGAACTCTTCAAACGTACCCGCCCCCACATCGACCCCGCTAGCACGAAGGTCGTCCAAAATGTCCGCTGCTGCGGTAGGCGGACTCTCAACCGCGGGGTTCTGGCCTGTGGCACTGTCCTCCTCAATCCCAGTAATAAATCCTGCGTGGCGGAAGCAGTTGTGGATCGTTTCCTGAGTCACTGACTTCCAGGCATCGGACAACATGCTGATGGCCGTCAGAACATCCACGACGTAGTTTTTGTTATTGTCGACGCATAACAGCACACGATTCAGGAGGCGCGACCGGTAATGAACTTTCAAGTTTTTGATCACGCCCTGGTCCATGGGCTGCAACACGCTTGTCGTGTTAGGCGGCAAAAACTCCACTGTCATAGCCTTCAAGTTGTCGATATGCCCATGGGCACCGCAGTTGTCGACGAACATCAGCACCTTGCGATTTTGCTGTTCGTACCGGCGGTCGAGCTTGCGAAGGTACTGTTCGAAGAGGTTTTGCGTAATCCACGCCTTCGAATTCGCTTCATACCACGCAGGGAGTGATTTGACGCCTTTAAAACATCTTGGATTTTTTTATTTCCCTATCACGAGGAGCGGAAGTTTCTCCGTCCCCGTCATGTTGCCTCCTACAACAACTGTCAGTCGCTCCTTGCTATGCTTCCCCCCATGACAGGGTTCGCCAGACAAAGCTAGCGTCTTGTCGGGCAGCATCTTATAGAAAAGTCCAGTCTCGTCACAATTAAAGACGTTTTCTGGTGGATACTGGCGCAGCAGTGCGCACAGCTTGTCGGCGCGGTAGTTGGTCACGAGCGTTTGGTCGACGGAACCACTCTCGCCGCACATTCGCTTGAAGGCCAGGTCGTACCTTTTCTTAAAGTTGCGCAACCACCCGTCACTGAACTTGCAGCTGGTAATACCCATGCGCAGGGCGAGCGTCTCTGCTTTCTGTCTCAGCAGATCGCCAGACACGGGTATTTTCCTAGCCACCGTGGCACTCAACCACATGTTCAGCGCTTCTTCAAGCTGCGGGTGGCTGCCGTCCCGGAAATTTTTCTGCGTACCCGCAGACGCTTTCTCAGCTGCCTCCAGGATCTTAGCCTTCTGCTTGAGGTAGTCCGAGACGGTTTGCTTGGAAATGGAAAATTCCCGAGCAACTTCAGACTGAGGTCGGCCGCCTTCTACCTGGCGAATTATCTCCGCTTTCTTCGCCATCGTGAGCGTCTTGTAGCTCCCACGTTGTCCGCGTTTCTTCACTCCCGACGGCGCAGCAACGGGTGGCGTCGGAGCCATTTCAGCACGCTACGGAACACACAAGAGAGCGAGAACACAGAGAACAAGACGAACCAGGCCTACCCGCAGAAGCAACTGACTGACACCACTGACACGCTGACACAAACGCCAAACCACGCCAAACGCCACAGCGAACAGACTCCGTAAGTGGCTTGGCTTGGCCGCTCGACTGGCTAAAACCGAAAAAAACGTGTCGCCAAACATAGCCTTTGAGATTGGCAATGGCGATTTCTGCGTGCATTTTGACACTGGCCCGACGTCCATCCATAGCTAGTGCAGCATATCAGTGCTGGCAACCTAGCAAACGTATTGTTAACGTCCCTGTCAGCGTGTCATGGCGTACGGCGACGCATCCGGTCAGTCAAACTGAGTCCGAATAATCGAACGGCGCACAGCGGGGTGTCCGAATTTTCGGTCGTGAGTTTACATTAGGTTCAATGGGGCGAGTGGCGGTGCCACGAAGATGTCCGAATAAACGGGCATGTCCGAATTTTCGGCGTCCGAATAAACGGTCGGCGACTGTACTGTATAACACTGTAATAACTGAAACACTATTTGAATATTCAAAGTGCTTGAATATTGGGGATGCCTATTGATAAGAACGTGGCGAATGCCGAGCCATCTCAGAAGGAAACGCCCGCTAGGCAAGTGAGGATATTTGTTGGGGGACAAAAAGACCTGCAAAGTGTAGTAAGCAGAAGTGTGTTTACCTGTAGGGATGACTCGTCAGATTCGGAACACAGCGAGGGGATTTCTTCTTCCACGACTTCTTCCAGTGTTGAGAGGCTGACACGGCAATGATCCTCAATGACATCGACAGTCAACACTGCTTCCTGGTCGCCCTTCTCGGCTTCAGCGTGTGATAACTGCTGTAACGTCAGCTGGGTGGTGTCAGCAGGCTCAACTTCTAACCTCTCCTGTGGCATCGCGCTGAGAGCTGCTCACAAAAAAGTGAGAAAGGGATTGAGGTCCCATTAGCATCCTCAAAAGGCATCGTACAATAGTACAGTCGAACCCCTTTATAAGAGACACTGATGTAACACAATTCGGTATTAGAGACATTGCTGGGACTACACTGAAATACAGTTTGACCACGGAATGGAAGCACAGTACCCTGCTTATAAGACAGACCTCATATGAAAAGACAAGAATTGCTACCAGGCACATGTCCAGGGGTGCAACAGCCAAAATACCATTTGGAGCAATTTTTGAAGCAGCAAAATGTTACTTTTGGAGCACTAAAATCCAAATTTGGAGTATGTTAGGGAAAAAAATCATACATTTTTTTTATCATCAACTACCATATTTGGAGCAGTATAGATAAGAAGGCTTACATTTTGAAAAAAAAAATTACAAACCATTAACTCAAGAAAAAGGGCAGTTTTTAGCATGTGGGAAATGATATTTTTTGGCAGCTAGATACTAACGCTTTTTTGAGATTGTTTGGTGCCAAAATGTAGCTAAAAGAATGTTCTATTCAATGACGTAAGTGTTTCACATATGTTTGTTACAGAAATTATTGAAGAAACCTTTTATAAAGAAAAGTTTATAGAGTAATTACATCCTTAACACTTCTAAAAGGAGGACAACTTAAAAAATAATGAGACTGGAAGAATTTCAGGATATACAATTTGAAGCTTCATATGTTATAAAAAGTTTATACAAGTTTCAGAAAATATTGCCGAAAATTGTTTATTCCGCAAAAAAGGGAAGTTAGTCTGGGTGCGTCTCGTGCCATTCTTCAAAGCAGTCCCTCGTCGCAATGAAACACAGATACACACCACATGGCTCACAAAAAACTGTTGTCTTCATTTCTATTTTTCACTTCTCGTAGCACAGCTTGCAATTGCGTCGCTTTTTTCGGACTTGGGGCTTGTGTTCAGACTTCTTTGGAGAACATGTCTGTCGTCCCCATGACAAGAATCTGGTTGACCAGCTCAACTCGAAATGCGAGCTGGTCAAAGCCAGTCTTTCTGGAGAGCTCATCTATATCAGGGTGATCCTTCCTGTGTGCTTCAAAAAGTATGAAACTGTTCCCGATAGCAATGTCGATGCAGAGGAAAAACAGAGTCTTTGACCCCCTGACGCACTTCATCAAAATATTCTACGAAGCAATAAGTTAATCCGACTTATCAACCCCGAGCATGCCCTTATCTTACTCTCCTATCAAGAGCGCTTTCCTGACTGGAATCTTGGTCCATCAGTCTGCACTCTTCACTTTTCGCATTACAGTGACATGTTTGTTTGCAGTGTGTGCAGTGCTTAACAAGCATACAGCATGCTTGTCCTTCCACTGGAGGTAAAGCACATCACTGCACCTCATTCAGCGGATATCTCCCCGAGTTGCTCTCCTCTCCCAGGTGTTGTCTTTCAACTCGGTGGGGAATGCACGGCAATCTGCGCATTGTTCCGCAAGACAAAGTTTTCCGTTCAAGAAGATGCACAAAGAGAGATGTGGAGGTGTAAAAATTGTCGAGGTAGACAATGTAGCCATGGTGCAAATATGATTCGCACAGGCGGGTTACAACGTCATAGGCTAGTCACTTTGGGCTGGGTGCTCCTCTCTTTCCTGTATACACACTGAATTGGACAGTATAGCCTATCTTTGAGTCCGCGAGAACCTAGAGCTTATACCCCCATTTCACGCCCTTAGCATGCATGTACTGACAATTCCTGACCATTCTTTCGACTTCACCATTCGCTCGTCCACAAACAGGTTCCGGTACACCTGAAAATGCTTTCAAGATACGTCGTTCATGTGCTGCAGGAGATGAGTGATGCGATGCAGCTTGTCATCGCGAACATGGTCAATCTTCTCAGGGTCCATGACACTTGGAAAGGCTAGAAATGCGAAAAAAACGACTCCTGGGCATAATATTTGGAGTAATTAGGCCCGAAAATAACTCTGAGGTTTTTAGTAAACATGAAGTCGAGGCAACACAACAATTCCTTTTTATATGAGTATTCCGATGCACCTCATCACTTTATCAGGACTGAAGCTCCTCCACGAACCGTCTTTTTGAGCGTAGGTTTGTCTGTCTAATATGTGCGTCCACGCATATTTATTGGTGTTCTTGCAGATCGTGTTTATGAGCTGTGCCGTGAAAAACAGCACGAAGAAATCGACGGCCCACACGAACTGCCGTGCGTTGCTCTAGAGTGCGTTGCCGACTTCGGCCCCCCAAGTTTCCTATGGATAAAAAATGCACCCGCTTCGCTGATGCTGGCAAAAAATCGTATCCGTAGGACAAAAGGCCCTGAAAATAAGTAATGTGGCTGCGAGTACACGTGACAACGCTCGTTACTACTTGCAGACAACAAAATGTGGACCACACATACAGCCGACACTCACTTGCTGGATGTTGCAGCCTGAGTAGACGCGTTCTCGTCGTCGGAACTAAAATCTGAAGTGCTAACATCATCTTCAGACTTACTGGTGTTCATTTCATCAAAAAAATCCGGTGTCGACAGACTCTAATCGCGAGAAATTCGTGGTCTTTTACCAGCGCCTGCGCGCTATGACGATGCCAAGATCGACGTTCACCAGCAGCTAACCGAAACTTTTTGAGGCGGGAAGAAAACTTTCCCAAAGCGAAGAAGCAACAAAACATCATGGATCACGTTGTGTGTTTCCCACTTTTTTACCTAGATGGTGCTACGTGCCCGCAAACCGCTTGAGAATTTAAACTTGAAATGCGTCGTACAAATTGATCGATTTAGATAGGTGCAGTAGCGAAAAAGTTAACATCACCTAAATCTTGCAGTGTGAACATAAGCACTGCTATTTCAATGAAAGTAGTATTTTGAACCATTCCACTGAACAAACAGTGATGAAATCCATATTAGCATTTTCTGCACCTGTAAAATCATTTGACAATCTCTGCGAATTTATATATGGATCTGCCAAGCTCGCAACCTTGAAGTTCTGAAGATTCGTAAAACCGAGGAGTAGGGGTGGTGGAAAAAAAAGAGAAACCGGCGCACAATTTAGTTTGTTTTTTTATGGAAGCTGAGATGTCATACACTGTTCTATATGATTGCCAGAAGCTTATTTAGACATCAGTTATTACACTGGTACTCGGAATTATGCGGCGTAAAAACTCGTGAGTAACCTAGCAAGATGTCCAGTGTTCAGTGAAAAGCGCTAACAGTCCCTTTTCAATCTCAACATGCTTTTCCGCTGGAAAGTGGCGTACTGCAGCGAAAGTGGCTTAAGCGGCTCAAGCAGCATTCTCTGCACGGGTTAGAACCAAAACCAATAAATTCTCTAACCGCGACGTCTCCCTCCCGCACTTCCCATCTTTTTCTTCTCTTACCGGGGGGGGGGGCTTAGGTGCCACTTCGGCTCTCTTGGACAGCGCGTTCGACCAGGTGAAGTAACAACTGTGCGCGCCCATTGGCCCAGCGACAGTACCGGATATCTATCTCCAGGACCGTGACCGTTTATCAACGTAATTGCTGGCAATGCTGGCGTTCGCAGCACATCAAGCTGGTTCGCGCGAGGAAAGCGCGGCATACACTTCCAGCTTTTGTTCCTAACAAGCCATAGCCGCATTTTCAGGTTAGGAAGTTTACATTTCCCGTGAAGCATTGGTGACTACAGCAATTAAATTTTGTCTTGAAATTTCGTTGTCCCCCCGCGGATAGGTATACACAGCAGTTAACCGACCAACACGCCCGTAGCGTTGCTACTTTATCTGGTCATATTTAAGAGCATTTTAAGCACTATAGTTGAAATATGCGCGCTTTGACGGATGGCACAAACTGCAGGTGGCTGACGTGGCCAGTATTTCTTGCCAAAATTAGCGCACCTAAGGAAATTTCGAGGCTGTCTGGGCATTTTGGTGCAGCATGGCACAATTTCAGCAAACTTCACGGTTTTGGCGCAGCTTGGCGCAACAATCTGAATTTTGTGGGGTCAAATCGGCGCAATTGGCACAGGCTGTTGCACCCCTGCATGTCTCTTATACTAGATAGATTCCACTGTACAATTGTAAACTCCACCAGCTGTCGCTCAATCTTATTCACGCATCATTATTCAAACATTGCTTCCTCTTTGCTTCCTGTCTTTTTGCAAAACAGTGCTCGTAAAAAAGATAATAAACTTGGTAATTCAAACTGTTAGAAATCTCCACAGAACTGCCATCATTTACCCAAAAGATGTGATGTATTTTTATAAAATTTAAGATGCCTTACAGTAAGTGCACAGTGCATTGCTCAATTTTCTGTCCTCTAAACTGCTCAAGGTGGCCATCGTTTAACGCTTTCACTACCAATTCCGAGATAGCTTGAACAAGCCCTGCCAATCTCGAGTACAGTACAACTTCATTAGCAACAAACCTTCGTAGTGAAGAGGATTTTGGTCTGTTGTAAAAAGGTTTTCTTAAATCCCAGTACTGTTACAACATACTTTTACATAAACACTGAATTGGTCTGTTATAACCGGACAAAATCAGGAGCCATGTCGAATTTATTCTCCATGGGGCATAAAAAAGTTGATTGTTTGGAAATCGTTCTTCGGTGTTTGCAGCCTTTTTTTCTATCCAATTCCAAAATACCTTCACTGAAAACTATGTCGAAGTGCTGTAAAAAAATTTTTCGCACCTGCTCAGGTGGTAAAAACCATTGTGGATGTCACAAGAAATGAAAAAGACGTTTCTCAAAAATTTATAGCTTCGCGACGGCACAACTCGTCGTAACAGTATTTTGTAACAAAAAGAGCATTTCGTGTTCGAAACCCAGATGTTTGAAATTCAATTGGAGGATCCTGATTGGCTGCTTTCGCCGTATTCATCTTGTACGCATCTCTAGTCCAATGCTCGTTCCTGATACGCCTCCGGGATAGCATCGTCTGCTTCTTGTGCATGGCAAGTGTCGCGGCTGTCTAAAATTTCACTATTTAGTCACATTTTCCCACTCAATCTGTGTTCATGGGTTAAGGCAGCTGCAAGTGGAAGTTCAGCCTTCATGCAGATTACGATCATGCGCCGTACTCTTCATGAACCTCGCACGCGTGTGTCTCGAAGCGATTGTCATAGTGCTGACTCGTTAACGAGAAGGTTCTGCTTCGGACCTTGCGACAAAGACCACCACAAGACAGATCTTTGAACTCGCGATCGAGCATCTCATACTTCGAAACATTGAGCACCATGGCCATGCACATCGCAGCCGCGCTTTCTGCTTGAAGTTGTGCCAAGGCCTAACTCCGCCCCAAACTTGGCGGGCAAGGCTGTTGCGCTAGCGGATATGCGAAAGCAAAAAAAGCCATAATGTGTTTCGTCGCAAGCAACAAATTACATCAGCCGCTGGCTCTTTATAACCATGAATCTTGCGCATCGATAGCGGACCCCAGCCATGCTCGGTACGCACCAACTGCTCGGAACAGTGGTGGTAGCGGCCAGCAATTTCGCACGTCAGTGCCCTAACACGCAAGATCAAGCACGCTGCACGCAGATTTTTTGTCGCAGTAGGTATGCATAACTCATCATTATCAGACCAAAGATAAGTAGCCTTCATTCCTAAATCGATATGTCAATATCCACAGCCCTATTCCCACCCCAAAAAATGTGCCAAGTGATGTGTTAAGTCGGAAGTTGTTGAATTTGGGATGTCCACGGTAGAAAAGTTCGCTGTAAAGGAGTCCTGACAACCTTGCTGGCCTCACATTTTAGTTAATTGTATCGTAATGCCCCTTGAACTATAAACCGTAGTAAACAAAGCTCAATCAGTGGAACAAGTAGGGTGGTCGGCATAACGCCCCAAATTAGTTTGTAGTAACCGAATGTCTGTTGTAAGCGTATCCATTGTAACGAGGTTATACTCTGTGCTCATTTTGCCCCTTTGCTTCCTGTCTTTTGCTAAACAATGCTCGTAAAAGAGATAATAAATGTCATTAATTCAAACAGTTATTTCGAAATCCTGCTTATTTCGAAGTACTTCTGCAGTACTGCATTTTGTAACGTAAGTTTGAGCGCATAATTTGAAGCGGCAGTCAGCACAAGTCCGGTTAATTAGAAAACTTTACGTGCAGTCTGCCAAATTCCTGATCCCGATTTGGCCGCAAATCCGCGGAAACGACGGCCTTTAGGAGCCACTAGGCAATGTACTTTAGCAATACTAATGAGTGGTAGCTTAAGCACCTCTATATAAAACAAAACGCTCTCGTGATCTACTGAAATATGCACCTGTGGAAAACAAGACGTGCGGGCAGCATACTTGCATACGGGCAGCATACGTGCGGGCAGCATATCGCATACTTCTCGCAACGTCAACGTGTCATATTTATCCATTCTTTCTGGAAGTTCAAAGAAATATAATGAAGGACAGTCTGGAGAAATATGCGATTATGCGAACCTCCAAGTGCCAGTTGCTCCAGCAATTCACGCACTTTGCACAGTTAGCAGAGTTCTTGCCTGCAACGCCTACTTTGAAAACTCGGGTCGAAAGCTTCAATGGTGACGTTTTCCAGCCAAAACAGATCGCAAATTTCGTCAGACTGTTTATTGTTAAATTTGTCATTTTACAAGAGAGAATGGGCGAATGGTCGCATCATGACGTGCTGGCGCAGTTAGAAGCAGGCGACATGCCGCTCGCGTCTCGTCTTGTTTTTCACAGACACGCATTTCAGTTCAGCACTTCTTTTTTTATTGCGATAGCAATTATATGGACACTCTCAGCAGGGGGTCGCCGTCACTCACCATATATGTACACGCATCCATATATATGAAAATGCAAGAAAGAAAATTAATCCAGAAAAATAGACTCTGGCGCGCAGAATCGAACCTCGACCTCTGATGTGAGAGTGTAAGGCATTAACCATTGAGCCACGAAGGAGCACCTGTTACCGGTGGAACTTGGAGGAACTACTATCAAGTTTTCAGCCTTACCAGTGAGATGGTGCAATGAGCGCGCGCCGCCAGACATAACGACGCGATATCTCCCATGCATACTTTGCCCCGCAGAGAGGGGATGCTATCGGGTGTGCTCGCTTATCATGCGGTAAGGACAATCGTAAACCTTGGGCTTCCACCGGAACGATTCTGTTGTAGTTACTGGGCGTACAAAGGTCACTGCAATCATTGCACAGTCTCTGTTTGCGAAAAGGGCACACTTCTCACACACAGCAAAGCAACAACTGAGACACATATTGCTAGAAAACATGACCCTTGGGGACACGAGCTAGCCAGCACAGCAAACGACAAGCCCTGATTACTTTAAATAATTTCAAGTTTCTTGCATTCCACTTTTTACATGTTTTGTTAATTCAAAAACCCGCATAATTCGAAGGTTTCTCATGGTCCCAGTGATTTCAAATTAACGATGTTTTACTGTACATTACAATGACTTTTAATAACATCCCCTATACTTTCCTTGGTATCGCTGAATGCTAGTTCTCACTATTGTTGCATTTGACAAAGAAAAACAAATTCTCTGAATTCAGGCAAACCCCTGTTCTCAAAGCGCACACACAACAGATGATAGCACACTGTACGAGAAAAATAATTCCATATTTGAATTCTGTACACAAAGACAGCCGAACTTCGAATATATGTCCTCCCGCTTTCGCATGGACCCGCATTTTACAATAAATCAGTTAGATCCCGGCAAAATCTCCATAGGAATAATGTATTGAAAACCATAGTTATACAACGAAGTTTTACACCGACCCCACATCTTACGACGACATTCAGATTTTATCCAGAAGAAAAAAGAACACCTTTACTTGAATCAAAAGTGAACCAAATATTCAAGTGTGCAGAATATAAACTAGTGTTTCCCTAGGGTTACGCTTAAAAAAGTGGAGAGCTAAACAGATGTCTTCTTAGAATAGAAAATTTATTCTCCTGAAAGTTCATGCGCTTCTAAACACGCCAAAAACGCGTGTGCACGAATCTGGGGTCGTTACCTAGTCAAGTTCTATCCACAAAAAGTAGCTTCAGTCAGCCAAAAGGTTCATATTTTCACGTTTTTCGTCCATAGAAACATTATCTGGTCGACATACAGCTGATCTCCTGCCTTCGTCGCACTCACAGTCACAGGCTTGCGGACGCATAAGGGACGCAGCTGTTTTCACTGTGGTAGATTACTTTCACTTGATGTCGTTCATACTAACAGCAGGACATCACTAGTTGCACTTCACAAGGCCACAAATTACAATGTGCATAGCTCAGTCGCACACGAAGGCATTCTACGCACACTCGTGGTCGGTCCCCATTATGTGATATCGATGACACTATGTCCGACTCTTCTGACGAAAGGCTATTTGGCAACGAACGCAGTTTCGGTTTCGTTTTCACGCGCAGGCAATTTTCGGACTCCATTTATCGGTAGAAAGATGCATGTTGGATTCAATTCTTTTTCAACTTCAGAATAGAGACTTTCAACTAAGTTACACTGCCATTAGCTCTCGCTGGCAAGAATAATTTAATATACCTTTCTAGCAGAGGCACAAGGTTGTGCCGGGGGCTTATTCAGGTGGTCTATACCCACTTTTCGGGGGCAAGGCTGAGTGTCATTGCTATATTCTTATTTTTTCGATTATATGACGCCCGAATCACACGACGGTTTTGCGTGGTCCCCTGGAAGTCGTATAATTGGGGTTCCACTGTATACATCACATCAATAAATTTTATCTCAATCAGTAAGGAACTCTAAAATATGTTTCAAGACTAACGTTTGCTTGCAGTGAGAGGAACATTTTGTCTGATGAGATAATTATGATGCTTACATGTCCTTAAAGAGCACCCCAATGTATCACCAGCATAATATTTCTATATAACATGAAGGAAATAGAAAAGAAACGTCAGGAAGTGGGGAGCACTAAAGAAAACTCTGCAGAAGGGGCCATAGACCGATGACTAATTTTTCCCAAGTTGGAGCTGTGTACACTTCATCCCCTTTATTACACAGTAACACGTTTTTTTTTGTTTTTTTTTTTCAATCATGGCAGCTTTTTTTGTACTACTTATGTGTTATCTGTCTACAGCGTTTCTTGTTGCTGTTTTCAAACTCCAGTGAAAAGGTTAATAGGTGGTTTGCTGTAGGTCCAACCATAGAGTTTCCTAAAATTAACTAGAGGGGACTCTGGCACTGCGATCATTCAGCGACCATTGGAATGATGGGCAGTACACGGATTTGCCTAGTCTTCGTACTTACGGGCAGCAAAACGTACTTGCGGCTTCGTTTATTGCTGGTTACGGTTTCGTTTTAAAAAAAAGAACGAACCCTTTCGAATTTCATGACCCTATTTGAAATGGTAAGCCTAAAATAACAAGATAATGAAGCACAACTGCTTAACATTTGCCGATTGTTGTTTCATGAGAAAACAGCTCCAAGCCACACGAACACACACACAGCCAGAAGTACGAAGATTAGATGAATCCGTGTACTACCCATCATTCCCATGCTCGCTAAAGTGCCGCGCGTTGCAGCTCCCATAGACACTAGTGCCAGAGTTCTCTCTAGTGTATATTTGGGAAACTCTATGGGTCCAACTAAGTCAAAAAGCCCATGAAGAGCTCTCACTGCATACAGGGATCTTTCTTACCAGCATCGGCAGGGAGTTCTTTGAATCGCTTAGCCAAAGGCTCATCCTTCGCACGGGCTGCATTCGCGGGCCGCTTGATAGAATTGCCTCGAACTGGATGGCCACACCGATTCCTCGATACCTGAGGTGGGATGTCCAAATATCTAATGCAGTTCGCAACACAAAATTCTCCTCACAGTTATAACACTGCCCAGATCAAGCCAGTTGCCACAAGCATTTGAACATACCTCGTCATTCTAATGCATACAAGCGGTCTTTCAGTTCAGTCATTATAAGTTCAACCCACGAGAATTACCCACACACAGTATTTGGGCAACATCCAAACATCGTGATCAAATACAACAATGAAATTAGTAGTACAGCAGAAATCTTCCTGCATGCTGCCAATGTTATGAATGCATTATTTTTTTTTCAAAAGTCTACATTTCTTTTCAGAAAATGTGACGCTGACGCAGGCGTGGACCGGAGTGAAGCTGTAGTGGTGTAAGCATTCATTGCACACTGTTTAAACAAAGAACTTTTGCAGGACATTGGGGAAACAGAGTTGCTTTGGTTGAAATTAAGCACTATTCTGGAAGGGCAGATTTCAAAGCTAGTGCATATCAAGAAACAGTTTGCGATACTTTGAGTACTGCCGCAAGAAAACTGCATAGTACTACTAGGATATAAGGCTTCGTGGGCAAGTGGGTCATGGGTCCATTACCATACACATGTGGTTCCACATCAGCAACATGCAAATAAATGCCCTTAATATAATAGTTTAAAAGGGCTATGACACCCAATTATCCATCATAACCTGTGTAGTGTGGGTTAATTCTTCCGCATTGACAAATAAGCTAACAAAGTTTTTGCACTTTTGGTTGAGCACTTAATTTATAATTGAGTATTTTCATTAACACGTGAGCAGCTCATGAGTCGGGTAACACTGTCACACTCATGAGTTATGACGTAGAAAGCAGCTCGTTGTGTGAGCATCTGCGCTCTGGTGAACAATACTGTTAAAAGGTCAGCTGCATGTGAAGTTGGAATATCGTCAGCTCTCTTCACATTGGTACAGAAAGTGAGCGATTTGCAGCGGTTGTAACTTTAGCAGAAAACAAAAGTTCAGTTCCATGCAGCTCATGACGTCATGGCGAAGCGTTGGCACAAGGCGGTGTTTATAGCCACCAATTTCTAGGGCTATATTTGAACTGAAATATTCTTTTACAGTTCCCATTTCATATGTATAGGCATATAAGACCCCCTACTTCTATTTTTCGCTAGAAACCACAATTTGTTGGGTGACCCTGTCATGACGCCTTTAAGAGACCCTAACAAAACGCTATGAAGATGGCATACAAAATGTGAGAAGTGCGGTACATACGTTCATGGCTTCAACATGCACAACTGTTACAATGCTCTATGCGTCGCGGAGAAACTCAGCACGTAGCCACCAATGAATGCACATGCCTTGCAGAACCAGAGCACTTTTTTTCCTCTTCTATGAATATCATGGCTTCGCTTGCCCAGATGATGTAGACTGACTGGAGGAAGCAATGCCAGTGGTGGATTACTGGTACATGAGTGCCACCTCGAGGTGCCCACTGCCACCAGTCCTAGAGAGGCGTCACGAGAGGATGGCAGCGAACGGAAGTGAGATTGAGCCCTCTTCAACTCAACAAAACCTAGGTGTACCTTCTTTTCAAGCATATCTTTGCTCCTCTGATGAACTGTCGACTTTTGATACAACGGGTTAGCTGCGAGTAGTCCTCACTTAAACGTATACCCACATAAAGTGTGTTCTGCTCAGCAATGCAGACAGTATGCATCGTAAGACAGCTTTGAGTCAGTGTAAGCTTGTAATATGCTAAACAATGCCACCTCACCTCGACAAAAAAATGCTAAAAAGATGCAATATTTGCAATGCTTCTTAATGACTTAAGTGCAAACATGCAGCAGGAAGGCATGAAGATATTAATTTTTTATTCGTGTTTGCACAATCTTTCATGTGAGATATGACAGAATGGCTAACTCAGCACTGTGGCAAAATTTTACTCGCTACTCAGTCCAACTTACAGGACTAGTACTGTTTCTAGGTCGGTGAGGCCTGCGCAGTGGTCGCCCTGCTCTGCGATTGGCCAGGGGTGCTGCCAGTGGTATGCCAGTGGCCAAGTTCAAGGAGGCCACACGTTCTTCGGAGGGTAACCTGCGAGACCAATCAGGACGCTTTTATGTGGACTCCAAGGGATTTAACACATTGTCGTTCCAACAAAGCTGTCAGTGTTGTCTGCTTGTGCTTTTGTCTAATACTTGTGTTAGGTGTTTATGACATTGCTGTGATCCTCAGAAACAATAACTGAAAACAAATGCTACCTTTCATTTGTTGCACACCAATTCGCCATGTTTTCTGGAGATACGAACTTCACGTGATTCGAATATTTTTATCGTGCGATTTGAATTAGAGAGGTATTTGAGGGCTCGGTAGTTGCAATCCACAGCCCTATTCTACACTACCTGTCATAGCTCCCGTGTTTACCAAACCCCGTAATTGAATCAATGCCGAACCAAAACCCGAGAGTGGCCTGCTGATTTCAAGAAAGATACCAGTGCACCACAAGATCAGACACCAGAAGCCAAGCACTGACCTGTGTCCCCAGACGTGCTCAAAGTGATGCCCTTTCCAGGGATCGAGGCTAGCCCGGTCCTGTTCGGCTCGCAGCCGCACCTGGCTCTCGTGGGTAAGCTCACCATCGGCCAGCCGCTCCCGCCATTCCTGGCAGGCACGGGCAAAGAACTCGTTGCTCAGGGCACTGCTGCTTAGGCGAACGGTGCCCGCGTCTTGCCAACAGTCCACTGCTGGAAGCAGGCTGGCCAAGCGACACTGGTACGACCATGGCAGAGACGCCATCGTATGTCGTGTCAGGAGGTCCTACAAACACGAGTGAAGCTACTTTAGGAACAAGAAGTGAGGATGAGTGAGAAACACTTTTTTTCCTTTTTTTCCCCCTTCTTCCCCCCACCCCTAAACAGCTAAAAAGGAACGTTTTAAGGACAGCTATTTTTACTATTCATGGGCATATTCATGGGAATAGATGACACTTGGTGCATCATTGTGGTTTATTGTGCTCATATCATGATGAAATCAGTTTTCAGCTACTAGCAGCACGAACTCACCTTGATGTTAGTGTTGACCAATATAGAATCGGGAGTCTCTAGGTCCACTAAACCTCTCCGGGTCTCTGCAATCTGGGCCGCTGCGAAAGTGGAACAAACTTTCACCAACACTGATCTACCCAGCTGACGACAATTATGAACCGGTTCACACATAAGATGCTATTAAAGGACACTTAGCCCATTGGAACAGAAAAGTTATAATATGTTGAACATTTACGAGCGAGTACGTATCGAGTTGAGATATCACTTACAAAAGCTCAGCATACTGTAACTTCTGTTCATATTGGGTAAGAGCATGTATTCTCATTTCTCTGCATACAGTTCTCATTCCACATTACAGTCGTACGTTGATTTGCTTTCAAGCTCTCACTGTCCTGAAAAAAGAAAATAATCTTTCTCTAGTCAATGCTTCTGAAATGTTTGATACCTTAAAAACTGCATACTGAACTAAATAAACTTGTCTTGACATTGTAGCGAAGGCTACGGAGGTGAAGCTTCCGCATATTCGCGTCTACTCCGCAAATTGTACAGCAGTTTGCGGCTGATCTTGGCTTCACTCGCTCGCGTTGTAAACGCGCTCAGAAAATTATATACATGAAAATTTGAATGAGAAAACTATTTCAATGGTTCACTGTACATTTTAGTGGACTATTCTGAGTGTGTGTGTGTATGTGTGTGTACATACACACATATATAGATATATTGCAAAAATAAACAGTACGTTTGCAACTACACAATGACCCACTGCATCATGATTACTACGAAAAACGGGCGCACTGCACAGGTGGTACTGCCTAAAAAAATGTGAACTCTAACTATATCTTACTATATCTAACTATATCTCGAAATAAATATGGCAGCAGTTATTTCAGCAGGGCAAATGAGAAAATCATCATTAACTTAAATACTATTTTAAATACGGCACAGTCTGCCCTTCCCTTCTGTAGCTTGCACAGTGCTGTCCAGCAAAGTTGTCCCCAGGTGCAGTCAGCCCCACACATTGCCTTAAGGGGGCAGACTGGTCTTTGGGACCAAAAAGTGACAAAAAAATTATTTTTTAAAATTGACATATTTGGTTTCTGCAAGTATTTTTCTAGCTCTGCAAGATTTCGCACACCAGGAAGTGGTAATTTTTTTGTAATGTTATTTGAACTGTTCAGATTCTTGGTGCTGTTAACATGCAGAACTTGCAAAAAAAAATGGGGAACCGACTTTGTATTGTCATTCTAACGGCCCAGATTCTTGGTGCTCTTAACATGCAGAGCCTGCAAAAATATGGGGAACCGACTTTGAGGCTTCTTTATAATTTGCCGGGACTTTTGTTAGAAGCTCTGTTATGAATTTATGAGCGCCTTTATGAGCATTGATAAACATGCGCGCCATGATTGTTGCTTTTTGAAGAAGCTGTGTGTTTTCAGTTTTTTCCATTTCTCTCGAAAAAGTAAATTCACGACTGTTAATTTTTGAGGCCTCAATATCTCTGCAGCTAAGGCAGGTACAACAATCATTCTTTTTGCAATGGAAATCTGTATGTGTGTAGAATGCAAGTATAGGGGCAGAATTTAGAGCACAAGCATTTTTAATTAATTACTCTTCAAAATTGCAGCACAATTACAACTGCTTTTGAAAATAGTTCATTTTGCTGTAAAATAACCGAGAAAGGCTAAAAAAAAAAAACTTCCATAATTTCAATGTATAGTCTATGTTGGCATATCTTAAATATCATTTTTAATTAAGCGCTTTTTTTCTATGGCGGCCTTAAACAATAAGGGGTGAACTTAAGTTATCTCAGGAACGAGATGAGTTTCAGAAATATTAACTAAATATTTGAAATCAGAAGGAAAAAACTGCATAATTTTGTACAGTTTGATCAAGATCACTGAAGAAATGAACAAAAAATGCCTAAGACCAGTCTGTCCCCTTAATAGGGAGGGGAGCGCTGTGAAGAATTTTTGCTCTCGCTGAAATGGTGGGTATCCTCCACACGCCTATGAAGCTGGGGCACCCTTTTTTGTTTCTCCTTAGTTTTCTTTCCTCTCCTTTTTTTGTATCTCCCCCTTTTCCATATTTCTTCTCTGCTTTCTATTTATTTATATTTCCCCTTTCTCTCTTTCTATCTTTTGTTTGCTTCCTATATCCCCTTGAGGTGTGAATTATGATGCACTGTCTGGAAATAGGTAAACTTTGCATGGCATAATTCCGAGGCACTCAAGAAAGAAAATGAAGGAATGTGTTGTTTTCTGCAAGCTTGAGTAATTATAATTATTTAGCATGCATTTAAAATTATTTATCATGAATTTAAATATCTAATTACTTTGTAATTATTCTCTGTAAATCCTTGCATAAAAAATCAAATATTAGGCCTAAAATGCATGCAGTTTGATTTTTGGTCGCCCTCATTTGGAACAAAAAAAAAAATACTCTTTACATTGGTTGTGAAACACGCTACATTGAACGAGCGTCAAACGCTATAGTGTCTCTAGCAAAGTGATACTCTGCCACAATAAGCAGCGCAATGAAGTTAAGTGACTGCTGTTTCTTTACTCAGGAAGCCTGCACAAACGTGCACAATGAATATCAAGCCATTTGGAGAAACATGCTGTGCGTGACATTTTTCAGACTTTGATGAGTACAACTGTACACACCGCCACAGAAGAGGGTTATTCTGCTATTTTTATACGTGGTTTTGCCTGCATTATGCCAAGTGACAATGACAGCATACGACAGCCCGGGCACCTAAAGTTCTCCACACTTAATGGGCTCTCGGATACTTCTTTTGAAGCATCGACATTGGTGCTGACCGCATCAACAAATAGTGGCACTCGCCAAAACTATTCCAAGCAAGAATGAAGACTGATGGCCCAGGCCTGTGATTGGATAAATGTAATGTGTGTGGGTGCTGACACCCCCCCTGTAAAGTTGTCTGCGCCGCGTGGCGCACGTGTCTCGCCGCAAGGCTTTATTTCAGTGGTGACCACCGCTGGGCGATAGATGGCGTTGTGTTTGCTTTGAGTACCACTGTTGGTAGAGTGGTAGCGCCGGCGGTGGCCCCTGGCGGAAGGCAGGCCTTGGTGGTGGGCGAGCGTTGAGCGAGTCTCTTCTGCGCGCGGCGGCTGCCGCGAACGGTTGTCTGTAGCGTGGGTCCGCGGTGCTCGGCACCGCGGGCTTCGCGCCGAGGTCCCACGTGGAAAGTCAGGCGTTGGCGACGCCGCCTTGGGTATGTGTTAGTGTGTTGGGTGTGTTAGTGTGTGTTTATCATGTTATTGTGTGTTTAGTGTGTCACTGCGTTATGTTGTTTGTATGGTAGCATGTTAATTAAAATTGATGTAACATTCAGCGGACGATATCCTCGTCTAAATTAGATAATAAATGTATGTATGTTGTGTGCTTTGTACCGAACGCGTCTGCTGTGTCCGTTCACTCCAAGAGCGTGGCGTGGCGATGCGCTCGTTCGCCTCGCCGAGACCCCACACTGGCTGCCCAACGTGGAGCTCTTGGAGTATCGCACAACAGTTTTTGCGGTTCAATACAGGGATTTTGTTAGAGCCGGAGTAGAGTAGGCCTAGGGGGGACTTCTTTGCTAGCGTCTGTGGTGTGCTTTGTTGAGAAGCAAAGAGATTGGTTTTGTAACATGTTTGAAGTTGTCGGCAGGTTGACTTTCTATTTATGTTTTTTTCTCGCAAGTGTTAATTTTTTTGTTGTTAGTTTTCGAAAACGTTGTTGAATTAGGACGAGAGCCATGCGGTCTACATCCTGGGGTGAGCAAGGCCTAGAGCACGTGGTTTGTAGGCCAGGCCCGAAGCGAGTGAGTACGGAAGCCTCGTGGGTGGTCTGATTTTCTGTAAATAGCTTCTTCTATATCTTTGGGTTCAGGGAGCCGGGCCTCGTTGCTGTCTGGTATTGCGGCTCGACGCCGAGGCGTCGTGACACCACCCGGGGCGGTGGACGCCGATCGCTCGGTAAGCTGCTGTGTGCGGCGAGCGATAGGGCCACCTCACAGAGTGGACGTCTCCTCGCGGCTGCCTCTTCTGCGCCTAGGCTGGGTGCTGGGTGGATGCCGGTTGTTGCCGAGCGACTCATTAGGCCTAAGGCTCTGCGCAGCCGCCTGTCGCACGTGGCACAACTACGTGGATCGTGGCGTTGAGGTGTTGCACTCTGCTTCCCTCACTTTTTTTTTTTCTTGTGAGCATGAGTTAGGAAAAGCAATTTTTGTTTTATTTTGATGGGCGTCTCGGCCGCCACCGATGTATTAGCTAGCAGTACTGACCAACGTACCACGTGGACGAAAAGCTCGAAGCTCCCTTCCCGAGGACCTGCTCGATTGTTTTCTTTCAATTTTTTTGTTGTTATTGATGTATTCAGCGGGAGTTATACTGGGCATCTTTATTCTATAGGATGGCTTTTCACTGCACGCAGAGGAGACTAAAGGTCTCAGACTTTTTAAGCTTGAAAACTGCAACGCCAGTAAAAAAAATGCACCGAACGCCGTTGCGCTGGAGGAAATGTGCCAAGGACGCTCCAGGCGCCATTGTTTGCAGAAAGTGAAGGAGGAAAATGTAAGAGCATTGACATACCATATTTACACATATAATTTGCGCACCCCCAATATTTCGCCAGCCTTTCAAAAAAAATATTTACTTACATATTTGGCGCTCCCCGACTCGCCCGAGCCAACTTGCCAGCACGCACCTTTGGATATTTCAATGCTTCGGCCTGGTGCGCGCCTTGCCGAGCGGACAAGTGCAGTCAAGCAGACTGCTAGTGGGAAGTCTTTTTTTCCGAGGACTTCCCCCGAGCTAGAAACCCTAGAATACTGCAACCGAACATGAACCTGTTGACGGGTCGCGGAAACCGCTTGAGCAATTGCTTTCCCCTATCTCCCAATCTCTACCCCCACGATAATGACGCCGCGAGAATGCACGCTGGCGTCATGACACGGACGACTTTCTGCATTGGACGCGTGTGAGGGCCTGTCGTCGCGCCAATTGTTAACCTCATTCTCTGCGTTCGCGTTGCAATGCACGCTTGATCGATTTGGGAAGTTAAGGCTTCGCCATCCTGGTAACGCATTTAGATGGTT